AGAGAATTTCATGTTACCTTTGTCTAAAGGCCTTTTCACCCATCTCCCGTGCAGCTCTCTTAACCTCTTCGGGAACAGCATCCTTTTCAGCCTGCGATACTTGGTAAACCTTGTGGCCAGCATCCAATCGGTATGGCCCACCCTTACCACCTAGGCCAGCAGTGTCTCTCCCACCTGGAATGGTTGAAAAAAATAAAGAATAGATGTTCAATAATCAATACAAAGGTTTTTTCATTAAGGCGTCTGCTGTCCTATTTACAAATGCTCACAAAATTTGCCGATATTCTCACTAGAAGTACTTATTGGCATAGATTTTCAAAAACAAACAGCTGTAATGGAAAAGAACTCAACTGGAATACATGTTTATATAGGCCTTTGAGTTCAGATTTGGAAGAGTTTCAACTTGCACAAAAGGCAGACCATGGAAGTCTTGCACATCTCCTCAAAGCTACTGCTTGTTCAACCATTTATTCTGATTACTATTTTCTCCCTAGAATTTGTTGGCTCACACTGTTCTCAAACCACTTTATACAGCGCTCACTCTCACGCCCGCTAAAATTATAAGGCACTTTGCCTCGTCTCTGTGCCCACTTCCTATGCTACCTAAATTTCTGGGGCTACAGAAATATCTAGGAGATTTGAAGGTGACTCAATTTCTATAGTTTCTATGGCTGCAAGTTTCAGGTTCTCTAGATGGCCAATGAAGAGCAACACAAAGCCTAATTGAATTAGGGATATCCTACATGCAGCTTAAGTTGGCACTGCAGCTCCTTTTCTCCCCTAACAATAAATAATATGGAGTTAGTAGAGCTCTGAGCTGAGGGGAGAGGGGAGTCTGGTGTAAATCTCTTTTTGAATGGAACACCTCTCTCAGACACGCTTAAAAGCTGCACAAGAAAACAAGGAATGAAAACCTGTTCCACCGGCCCAAGTGTTCCCACCAAAATGAGGCGCGTTATCTGGATCGACCTTTCCATGCTTGGGAGAACTGACGTCCAAACCACTGTCCCTCTCAACCGTTATCTGTAAAATAAAAAAGGAAGTTGTAAAGCTCCCTTATTTTAATCATTGTAATGAGCTAAAAGGAACCTACTGTTGAAGAGCTGTGAGACCAGCGTCAATTCAAGAAATGCAACATTCCATCTGCTGATGACAAGAGGGCAAAGCAGGGTGAAAGAGGGTGAAAGAGGGTACGAGAGGCCCATATCAGACCCCAGAATAGTATCACCCAAACCACTTAGTGCATTCAGATCTTACCAACACTAGAAAAAATAAGTGTTTTCTGATAATAGCTAATATAATTTAAAATCCCACTGTTGACAAAATCAACTGTAGTTTTAGTGCCTCTTCTCATGTTGGCAACACCTGGCCCAACAACCACTTAGGAACTTCATACACGCACAACTACAACTCAGTATTCTTCATCGCTCAGCAGACTGATCCTCCTCCATGTAGAGTGGCTAAATAAATGGCATGTGCTTCTCTGACAGCAATAAATGGCTAGTTCAAATTACATGCTCAGGACGGCATGTAATGTGAATCAAAAGTGATGACTGCAATGGTGGGTTTTCTAATGTGAACACCTGTGAACTGACCACGTTTTCCCCATTGATTTACTGCAGAGCTGAACAACCAACAGCTGCCAGGTGGTATGGATTGAGTCACTTCAGCCTGGCATTGATTTCGAGTGGGTGACTGACACCAAAAGTTCACTTTTTCCCGTTAGGAACTATGAGTCATGCAGTGAATCAAAGATTCATGAGTAAGCTGCCCTTACTTTGCTAATCTTTCATAATTTAACACCCGTTTATCATTACATGAAACTTAATGACACAGATAAAATTGATGTCTTTAACCTCTACAAAAAAACTTTATTCTCATGTAATATATAACATTTATTTCTCTGTTGAATTTATGTGCTCCAATAAATACAATTTATTGCCTTCTCAGAAGTTCACTGGCATAACCAGGGTTTTAATTGGAGTTGTAGAATAGCTTAATCCTTTTATTCTCTGCTTTGCCGACTCATTTTAATACGGCATGAATTCCATACGTGTTTCTGATTTGAAAACATATGCTCTAACAACAGTGTCTTGGCAACTGTTCAAAACATAATTTTCTTTCTTTTTACAGGATTTATATTAATTCACAGTGGTACAATACATCCTCTGTGAGCCATGTCATTAGAGTACAATTAAGATCTAATGTGAAAAATTACATTAACTTAACATTTGCATGCAAAGACAGACACTTGTAGGCACAACCGTTACCCTTGGGGTTATATACTTTTCTGGCTAAAGAGATTTCCCTCAAAAAACACACTTTTAGTCGTGTAGACTAGCATTCCAACCTCACCAGACACCCTGGGGTAAACAATAATTGCTGAATTTCACTTAAAATAATAAAACCAAAGACTTAGTATCAGCCCTACGAACCGAAACAAAAATATTATTCTGTAAAGAGAAAGAATAAAATTATGGAAAATCCCTTACATTTTTATCCTTCTGGGTCCTTCATAGAAAAGTACGTAAAGTTCTGCTAAAGGAAGCTGAATGAGGCCTATATAACCATAATCTGTGATTTACATCCCCTATTATATTTTCATCAAGCTTGCCATTGAAATTCAATAAATATAAATATTTTGAAATACAACTATTCTTCTCACATTATTAGGGTAAAGTTCTGTAGTTCTTTTGTTGCCCGCATATAATATTTCTAAGTGCACATGTTCATGTGGACACATGAGTCTGGATACAAAAGCAGAGGAAGGAAAAGGAAAAAAAAATTAAACAATTACAGATTCCTCAGCATGACGGATATAAAGAGAGCACAGATAAGATCACCCCGCTGAAGGCTGGATGCATTCTTGACCTTAGAAACTGTTGGAAAGGTAGAGTTAAGAGGAAGGATCCAAACTATACCTTGAACCTGGCAAACAAATACAATTAGTTGGGAAAAATCTAGTTCAATTGAAGTGAGAAGGAAGACAAGAAGAGAAAATAGTGAAAAACAAAAGCGAAAAAGCTAAAATAAATTGAAGAAATGCACCCTTCAAGATTTTCTGATTGGAATTTCTAAAGCTACTGAGTTTTCTCTTACATACTGTTGTAATAGGTACCTTCCAAATACCTAGAAAGTTCACTTGCTCCAGAGCTGACCTGCCTCCTCCTGTATACTTTCCTTTAAAATCTACTGTAAGATTTCCGTCAACTTTGTTTCTTTCAGTTAAGCTTTCTCTCCTGTGCTGCTTCTCTATATGCTTATGAACTATACAGGAACTGAAAGGCTTTATTCATTTCTGGGAAGACTTCATGCAGCCTGTTGTGCCTATCACAGCTATGTAAAACAACAGGCCAATTCACTCTACTAGCCCTGGGTTTTAGCATGAGGTAAGGGTCAGAGTAGAAAAGCTGGAAAAAAATATGAATTTTTCCATCTAAGACTTCCTTTGATTTCCAAAATAACCACCAATTCCAAAAATATTTATGACACACATATTTCTTTTGTGCAGCATCTAAACTTGTTTATATATATTGGTGATTCATGATTAGGAAATGAAAGCACTTTTCTACTTTACCAGTCTCTGTTTGGATAGGTTTTTCTTTAAAGTTTTCATCACACAAGAAGCTGATCTGCCATCCTTTGCTAGGGCATATCTTATTTTACTCTCTGTAAAGCCCAGATTTTTAGTACTTTTCACTGATTTTAGTCCCTGGTGTAAAATCTCTTTTGCTCCTCTCCTAAACTTCTTTTTTTTTTCTTTTTTATTTGACTATTTTATATTCTCAGGCACATAAATCAATGGGAAACAAGTAGAATCCAAAGGGAGGGAGGGGGCTTTGTCAATGAAACAAAACAAAACAGCACACAAAGGTTGGAGGTCAGAAATTCAGAAAAATGCTAAAGGCATGAGCTTTTCTGAGGAGGAAAGATTATGAAGGGTTTGAGAGAAAAGGAAATAAAGAAAGAAGGAGCAAATGCCAAACATTGTTAAAGCTCTAACATAATTTTCCTGTCCTGCCTCTCACGTATCTATTCCTCACTTTAGCAAGGGCAGCTATGCAGGAACAGAATTTAACACTCATTTTGCATTCAGCAGAAGATGCACGTTATCTGAACAACTCTCTTTATAACAGTTCCTTCTAAGATGTATGAATAGATGCCAAACAGTCACACTTCATGGCTACACTTCATTTTCTTATCCCTGATAACACTGGTATGAGCCAACCGAATAAAGAAAAGGGAAACTGATATAAACATACTGAGTATGGAAACCAAATACCCTTGTCATCCTTCATGCAGTAATGTAAAGTAGATAAACAGGCCCAGAGAAGTCACTTGCATGATTTAACGCGCTCAATAACACAATGCAACCAGGTGTTCCCCATCTGTATTACATATATGCCAAACACTATTAAATACATACCAACCTTAACGGGGGCCGCTCTGAACGTGAGTCAAAGGGTGTTAGTTTTGTCTAGACTTAAGCTGGTCGGAAAAAAACATGGTAAGGGAACTCCACACTGTATATTAACCAAGTCCTCTGCGTCCTGCTGAGCGTAGAACTACATTCCTGCCACTTGAGTGAATGTGGGATGATGTGAGTGAATGATGGAGAAGCCTGCTCAGCT